AGGGAAGGAAGGAAGGAAGGAAGGAAGGAAGGAAGGAAGGAAGGAAGGAAGGAAGGAAGGAAGGAAGGAAGGAAGGAAGGAAAGACCGATCGATCACAGATGCTGAAGTAAAAGAATCTGATCAAAGTACTGATGTGAATAGGATTCCTAGACTCTGGCAACAACACATCCACATGCCCTCATCTGTACACTGACTTTTCTTTTACTTCCTGCTCCAAGCAGTAGACAACCCCTCCTATTATCTACACAACTCCATCTTCACTGTTTCAACTATATCCACCTAGCATTTCTCCTTTCTCTCCTGGGTAGTTAGTCTCAGCATAAAACACATGCTATTGTTTTGCTTTATTTTGTTTTGTTTGTTCACCACTTACAAAAAAAACAAAACTAAGTTGACCCCACTTCTATTGGAGTTACTCCCCACCTCTCTCCTCTTTAGAGTAAAACTTCTCAAAAGAGTGGTCTATCCTTGTCTTTTATTTCTCTCTTCCTATTCTATGTTGAACCCACTCCAATCAGACCTTTGCTCTCACCACTCCATTCAAACTGTTCTCATTAAGGTCACTAATTACCTCCACATTACTAAAGCCAATCGTCAATTCTCAATGCTCATCTTATTTGACCTATCAGCATCTGTCACAATTCGTCTGGCAACACTTTCTTCACAAGGCTTGTCGACAGCCTGGAATCCTTCTACCTCACTGCTCACCCCTTCCTGGCCTTTGCTGTTGCTTCTTGCTTCTCTACCCTTTTATGTTGGGGTGCCCCAGCCTATCTTGGGTCTTATTCTTTTCCTCTGTTGATTTGTACTTTAGAGTGGCCAAACCTGCTATTTGTACTTGTGTCTCCTCTGTGGGTGTTGGCAGTTGATTTGCAGAAGTATTAGCATATCCCTGTGCTTCTCTCTTGCCCCCTTCTTCAATAAACACCAGTCCAAATGAAAGCTGGAGGATGGCTAGACACACTTTTTCTTCTCTGGGCTTCTCCCATGGTTTAAGTTCCAGGGGTTTAGTGTACCTGAAGACTGACCTTCACACCAGGAGTCATATACAACATAGCAAATACATTGGATCACATAAGCCTTTTCCACAGATCATGGTCCTGCTTGTGCATTAATTATTTTCCCATTTTCATCCTTTCATAGATTATGATGTTGGAAATGAGAGCTAATAAAAATAAGAAAGATCTCTCTATCAGAATTCTATCGTAGCCCTTACAGTTAATTATCAAGGACTAGAAGTAACAACTGCTAGACATACCTTTTTAAATTAGTAAATTAATAAGAACCATAGTTAAGAAGCCTTTAAATTGTTAGCTATAGAAGAAGAACCAGATAAAATCGGGTAGCTTTTATGAGAATACCTAATCAAATTTGCTTCCAATTGTTTCATCGTCTCTAAAATCTACCTGACAAGATAAGAGCATCTAAATTGTTATAATGAATGAATACAGTGTTGACACCCACCTTATATTTTGAAGTATCCCAGTTGTGGACTATGCGTGCTGGGATGAGAAAGCTGTCATCCACATGGCAGCTGCTGCAGTAGTACCACCCACTGTAATTGCACACCTTGGCTTTCCCATTGGAAAGGCCGATGGACCGCTGGCATCCTGTGCAAGAAAGAAGAAAGAATCTATGATTGCTATTATACTCTGAGCACCACAGAACAAGGCTGTGCAACTCTTTTTTTTTTTTTTTTTTTTTTGTCGGTCGTGGGGCTTGAACTCTGGGCCTGGGTGCTGTCCTTCAGCTCTTCAGCTCAAGGCGAGCGCTCTACCACTTGAGCTACGCGCCACTTCCGGTTTTCTGGTGGTTTATTGGAGATAGGAGTCTCACAGTCTCTCCTGCCCGGGCTGGCTTTGAACCGTGATCCTCAGATCTCAGCCTCCTGAGTAGCTAGGATTACAGGCATGAGCCACCAGTGCCCGGCCAAGGCTGTGCAACTCAAAAGTTTAGTGAAAGTCTACAACAGAAAGAATCCACAGAGAACAGATGTACACATATGTTCCTTCTAGCCTTGACAGTCTCCACCCATCACTTCCTGAGGAACTGCTGTTAGTATCACCTATTTGGTACCCTGTTTCTGGTCTCTTCGATTCTATCCCTTCTACATACAGCTACCAGAGATATGTTTCTCTACAACTTTTTTTCCCTCCATTCTTTCATTTCTTCTTTTTTCCTTTTCTTTCTTTTCTGCTCAGGACGTATTGCACTAGACATTTTGTTGGGAGCTTTTTATATAGGTTCTTTGTTTAATTCACCTAATAACTCTATATCAAGAAAAGAAGACTGGACATTATGGTACATACATGTAATCCCAGAGGCTGAGACTGGAGGATCTGATGGGTTCAAGCCCAGCCTGGGCATGAAGTGGGATTCTGTCTCAAAAACATAAAAATAAATAAATATGTTGTCTGATAGAATGATTCTAAAATCTGATATGTAGTTTTCTTTTGCTCACAAAAATTAATGAAAGAAATTTGGCTTTGGACTGGCCCCATTCCACCCCTCCAACTTCCCTCCCAATACTTTGCAGTAGGACTATAATCTCTAATTCCAGTTAGAGAACTTGCCAGATGAACAGTGTTCATCCCTCCCCCACTTTGCACATTGCAGAGTACATTATTTCTCTGCTCTCCACTTCAGCAACATTTTCCCATTACTCAAGAACACTTACAGCTTGCTGCTGCAAATGATTGCTAATGTTCTTTTCATATTCCAGGCAGTGCATGATTCTGTGAGCTCTGTCCTGACACAGTCAGGGGACCTGGCAATAAACACTAGACACTATGCTGAAAATGAACTACTTAACTTGTGGGTGGGGATGGGAGGGGAAAACTGGGAGAGAGAGAGGAAGAGCTTACCTGACTTACTTAACTACAACCCCTCTGTATATCACTTTTATAACAATAATAAAAGTTGTATGTTTTTTAAAAGAATATACAAAGTCAGGCACCAGTGGTTCATGCCTTTAATCCTAGCTGCTCAGGAAGCTGAGATCTGAGGATCACAGTTCAAACCTAGCCTGGGCAAGAAAGTCTGTGAGACTTTTATCCCCAATAAACTACCACAAATGCCAGGTGGAGCTGTGGCTCAAGTGGTAGAGTGCTAGCCTTGAGCAAAAGGGATAGCACTCAAGCCCTGAATTCAAGTCTCAGGACTGGAAAATATATGTGTGTGTGTGTGTGTGTCACACACACACACACACACACACTCTATTCTGACCTTTGTAACCTATAACCTTTCATTCTAGAAATCCTTCCATGCAACATTTTTCATGGTTGGGTGCCAGAACTAGATCAATCAAATGGATCTGACACTAGTCATGTTGTAGGCATGAAAGTGGATTTTTCTTTCAACAATAGTAATGAGGATGATGATGTAATGATCATTGCTGTGTCCCACCATCACTAAATAGTGCCCAAATACATTTATTGAACTACTAACCTAAGAAGATACTGATTTGCATGCACTCCATGAATAAAAACATCACAAAACCCAACAGAATTCCATCATAAATAAAAAGGCATTAGTAACCAAGCAGTTTCATAGTGCCTCTTTCACAAAGAAAATTAGATCATGTGTTTTTACATAGAGAAGGTATTAAAAAAATAGTAAGTCACGGGCTGCGAAGGTGGCTCAGTGGTAAAGCACTTGCCTCACATACATGAGGCCCTGGGTTCGATTCCTCAGCACCACATAAGTAGAAAAAGTTGGAAGTGGTGCTGTGGCTCAAGTGGTAGAGTGTTAGCCTTGAGCTGAAGAGCTGAGGAACAGCGCCCAGGCCCAGAGTTCAGGCCCCACAACTGACACACACACACATACACACACACACACACACAAAAATTAAGTCACTATGTTGGTATCAAGTTTCAAAGACTTGATCCTCAAGTAGATTTCTTTACCATTGAGTAGCAACAAAAACATTATAATAACTTGATTTTCACGGCTGGCTGAGGAATGAGAAAAAAATGTGTGAAAGAAGAAGACTAAAACAAGCTGAATTTGACAGAAGAGACGACTCACAAGCCCAGCGGTGTGAATGTGTGCCCACCCATTCCATCACCCGCTGGACCAGTGATGTTGCACTTTTAGGGGCTTTGCTATTCAGCAACATTATAAACTTCTCAGATATATTTTTTATCCTCAGCTCTTACAAAGTTTACACACAAGAGACCATAATGTTTAAGTTGAAAGAGTGATAAACTATTATTTAAATGGTGCATAGATATAGACCTACAGACATTTCAATTTCCCATAGCTATTTCATATTTGATTTTTTTAAACCTGATCACCTGTTTCTTGTGGCAGCCAACTTTCATCACTATCCCTGTTAAACTCTTTTTTTTTGGGGGGGGGTCGGGTCGTGGGGTCTGAACTCTGGGCCTGGGTGCTGTCCCTCAGCTCTTCAGCTCAAGGCTAGCACTCTACCACTTGAGCCACAGCGCCACTTCCGGCTTTTTTCTTTTTGCTTATGTGGTGCTGAGGAATCGAACCCAGGGCCTCAGGTATACAAGGCAAGCACTCTACCACTGAGCCACCTTCCTAGTCCCCCTGTTAAAGTCTTAAGCATGTGCTCATGTATGAACTGGAAATTGTGCTCAGTGGAAGCTGACATCTCCTAGACGCTGGAATATTGTTTCCAAAAATGAGTAGTCAGACTGAGTGAAAAATCAAATGCTACTGCACAGAATTCAATCCTCTCTAATTGTTTGGACCTTCCAGAAATTCTCACCATAGAGCACTGAAAAAAAATCTGGATATTTTAGCTTTTTGTTTGTGTCAACTTAAGAAGTAATAAACATCAGTAAGCATTTGCTGGATATTTAATACCTATATTTGTAAGTACTACTTAGTTTATCTATCTGTAACTTCAATGTCTGTAATAATTTTGTGCAACGAAATCAACATTAAAATACCTGCATATACATTTTAAGAAACCATATAGCCTAAACATGTTTATGTTGGCTGGGTACACCTGCCCAAAGCTAGGGATTCAACCACATGAGCTCATGAGGTAAGTTAAACAGTCTCATGATTTTGTACAGATCTCTGGGCTCATAAAAGAGAAAAAAAGAATAAGAGACTGTGGATGAAATTCATTCAGATTTTAGTTTAGGCAAACACAGTAGAAAAAAATATGTAAAACTATGTCTAGTAGCTAGGTAACTTAACAATCATACTGTACTGAAACTATGCTGTCCAACCCTCAGTGCTGAAATCATCCAGACGTAGCTTTGAACCTACACACACTCTAAGAGCTACTTTGAACATGTGATATACCAACAGTCTGAGTCCTACAGTCAGGAAACCTAAACCTGCTATTACCCAGGGCACACTATATGCCTGAGCCAAAATAAAAGGATTAGCTTTAATTGGTGGGTTTCCAAATTCACTGAGCATCAGAATGTAAAATGTGAATCCTTCCTAAGTTTGGTAGAGTAGGGATAGAGAACAGAAATTCACGTTTCTTCTCCTTCTCCTTTCTTCCTTCTCTTCTTTCTTCTTCTCCTCCTCCTCCTTCTCCTTCTCTTTTCCTCTTCTCCCCCTCTCTCTTCCCCCTTCTTCCCCCCCCTTCTTCTTCTTTCTCTCCTTTTTTTTTTTGGTAGTCACAGGACTTGAACTCAGGGCCTGACACTGTCCTTGGGCATTTCTGCTCAAGACTAGCATACTACCACTTTGAGCCACAGCTCCACTCCCGGTTTTCAGGTAGTTAATTAGAAGTTAGAGTCTCTCAGACTTTCCTGCCCAGATTGACTTTGAACTTCGATCCTCAGATTTCAGCCTCCTGAGTAGCTAGGATTACAGGCGTGAGCCACCAGTACCCAGCTAAGAATTCACATTTCTAATGAGCATCATTTACCAGGGCCCCACTGGGAGGTCAGATGGATAAGGTTTCTCTAAGCTCTAAAAGCCTGACTCAGTTCAACCAAAGTATAAATGTCTGCAGACTGCAGTCAAAGAAAAGCTCTTGATTCATCACATAGTTTACTTTCTAGGCTTTGAACAAAAACAATTCAAGTTTTTAGTCAGTTTCTAAAAACTGGCTGTGTAGACCTGGGATTATTTTACCAGTATTTTCGCAGAGCGTTCTTACCTCCATTGGAAAGTATCCTATTCAACTTAGAAATACTTAAAATGTACACCCTGAAATCCAATGTATTTGTCTTTGAAAAAGCATAAGATGGTTGGGAAAGAAGATTAGATGCTAGTGGTCTGATGAAGATTCATTTATTTCAAGAAGTATCTGTTCTTACAATTAACTGCAACATTTCCTTCAGTGTCATACTAGCAAATCATGGTCTAAGAATGACAGACGCAATTCTTCTTTAAGATACACAATCTGGGATTTTACTTTATCAGTTAGGCTCTCAGCAGGGAAAAAAATGTGTTTTCTTAATAATGACTGTTAAAAAGTACATTTTTTGAAGGGTGCCAAAACTGGACTCTTAAGCAAGACATTATGGAAAGAAAAATAGAGCTACAGAGTAGAGACAAAAAATAATTAATTGAAATAACTAATTAGGGCTTATTTACACATATTTTTATGTACTTTCAAACAGATTTTTCAACAGTGTTTGTAAGTTAAAGGGCATTAGGAGAAAGAAAC